TTTTACGAAAATTTTCAATCCATTCACTCGAAGAATTTCAATTCTTTCTCTTTAATTGTGTTTCAAGTTTTCCAAGAAACGAAACGTGCCAAGTGCACGTCGCAATTTCATTTTATTTGCCGGTTATTTAATTATACAAAGTGTATCCGCGTATCAATGTTTCATGATATGGTCGAGTTGGAACCCCTCTGATTATGTTAATGGGATTATTTTTAAATCGAAGTTGTGGGATGTTCCTTATTTGATTAAAAGAAATTTAGATTTCGTAACACAGCTAGCAATGACCAATTAAATTCGTATATAGAATTTTCTTTCTATTTCCCTAATAGATATTTCATTTTCTCTTTACCATCGGAGAGAGAACACACTTCTTTTATACATATATTTTCTCTCAAACTAAAAACGCGGGGAATTTGAATTTTTTATCCATGAGCCGTTGTCAGATTTACCGTCTACTTTAAATAGTAAAGTTTAAACTTTGAATAGTCTACTCTAAAGATCGTATTTTAAAAATAATAAACCCAACGTTGCATAATTAAACTTGAATGCTCGAGAGTACTGCATGTAAAAATAAATATTTCGAAAGTGGAATGTTACTGGAACGACAGTAATAATCTCTTTTCTTCTCCAGTTTTTTTCCTTTTCTTCTTTTCTTTCTCTTTTTTTATCTGCGATGCGTTGCATCGTCGGATAATTTTTAACGAAGAAACTCCTATTATTTTGTGAGAAAAGCGTCGAGTAACGCGGCCACTTCATAAATGTCGGCGCCCGAGAGTATTCGACCGTTCTTCCAGACCTAACTCGGACACGAGCCACCGTGAAATTCATGCCGCTCTGAAGATTTATGAGCGAGCAAATCACTTTCGAAGGCGTCAACCGTGTGAAAAGATTCTTCTAAACGAGACTTAAACGTCCAACGGACAGTGATTTATCGCCGGTAATACACTGGATGAAAACCGAGGTTCATCGCGCGGATGATACGCAAAATAGAATTAAAAATCTGTGAAAATTGAAATTGCAAGGAAGCACTGTTGTTTGAAGAGGATCGAGAAAGTCAAGGGAACTAATTATAAGTTATTTGTAGAATATTTAGAGTGAACTTCGTAATTGAAACTTGAATAATTGAAAAGTTCATAAATGGTATAATACGTGTACAGTGAAGAGCGTAATTGCATCAGTGAAATATTGTCGATAATTTAAACTGATAAAAATAAGTTTACAGAAAAAGGTTGTGTGACGAAATCCAAATATTTTGTCACCTAACCTTAATTTGCAAAGTTCAATGAAATGGTGAGAGAAAATCGTACTGTTATTTTCAAGAGAGAAAATTTCAGCCTTCAGGTGGTAGATCGGTTTTTTTGCAATTTTTCGACAAAAATGTAGTTTCTGTTTCTAACTTCGCTTTCGACCCACTGCACTGTAACATCATTTTCGAGAAAAAAAAAAAAGAAAAAGAAAAAAAAAAAGAGCGCACGATAGTTCCATTAAAATAAGATCCACGCATTGAAAATAAGATCCTTTCTTCTGAAGCTACATATCAGTTTCAATTGTATCAACAAATTTAAGAGAGAGAATTCTGCGAGACGGACATCTGTCACTCACAGAGCAATCCTAAGCATTTTGACGTTCCCGCGTGACAATGTCTATCAAATATTTCCGCCAAACGAAAATGGCGATAAGAGAGGGATTTAAAGTCGAGCGTTGAATAATAAACGGCGGGAGAATAAAAGAGGAAAATAGAATCCAACATCTCTCGGGGAAATGCGAACTTCTCCCCGGCGTTATATTGCAAGGAAGGATCGGCGCGATTTATCTTGCGGCGTTGCTGTCTCTTCCTCCTCCCTCCCTTCCCCTACCAACGACCATAATTTGAAACGGTGAAACGTTACCCTTTAGCTGCAGGCTATTTGGCGATTTCTACAGATTCGCGTTGGCCACGCAGCTACGACGGTCTAGCCAGTCGGCCTAGTTCGCATTTGGCTTCCTCCTACTCGACAGGAATTCTCCTCTCGCGCACGAGGGTTAGGTTTCTAGGTATCTCTCTACCTAGCCCCGAAGCCGGCCAAGTTTACGAAACGCATCAGTTTCGCGATTTCGAGAGAGGGTGCGCGTGGCATCGGATCACACTTTGAAGTGCAGCTACGTAAAAGAAATCGAGTCGATTGTATATACATATGTATTCGGCCGTTGAAATTATTATAAAATTAACGAAAACGTTGACGGAACTTGGTTTTCGAATGAAATCTCGAAACTTCTACCCAACAACTTAGAACTTTGGAGAATTAAGTCTCGTGAAGAAAAATGAAACGGAGAAACACTCGTAAGTGTAACTCGAGTCTTACGATCTTCACGACCAGCAGAAATTATGTAGAGATTAAATGTAAATGATATTTATTTAATAACAATGTTAAATTTAGTGATAAAGCAACAGATAATTGGACGAGACAAAGAACACAGATTAACAAATAAAATCTTTTTTAACAGCACAATCGACTCTTTTTCAACAACTCTTTAGAGTTTCTCTCACGACTCTAATCGACTCTCTCCTTTTTCAAAAAGAAAAACTTTTTTACTTATACTTTTCCTCTTTCACGTATTTCTTCACACTGCAAGCCATCTGTACTAATTATATGCAAAAATAATAATTTAAAATAGAACAATATTATAAAAATATACAATATAACAAATAAGTTTAAAATGTAATAAGATTATAAAAATGTAAAATATAATAAATAAATTTAAAATGTAATAAGACTATAAAAATGTAAAATATAATAAATAAATTTAAAACGTAATGAGATTATAAAAATGTAAAATATAATAAATAAATTTAAAATGTAATAAGACTATAAAAATGTAAAATATAATAAATAAATTTAAAATGTAATAAGATTATAAAAATATAGCAACTACAGGTTGTATAACCGACGACACTACGATCACTCGCATCGACAGCGCCGACTTTTTGTCCATCTTCCTCATCCTCCTACACGTCTCTGAAAACACCATCAACAACTTGTCTTCCCGTCATTCCCATTCGATCGAACGAGACCTCGCTCGTTCTTGCACCTCTCTGCCGCCACTCAAGGCCGCGCTCGCCTTTTTTTCTCCGTTTTGTTTCATTCGCCACTTCACATATTCATACGGTCGGTCTTTGCTTACGATAAATGCGGACCATTTGCATGCAGGGTCTCTGCCTGGTGGCAACAAACCCCTTCCTCTAAATCTCGTTGCGTCACTCTTCCCCACCCTCTCCCTCTCTCTCTCTCTCTCTCTCTCTCTCTCTCTCTCTCTCTCTCTCTCTGTGTCTAGATGCTCGATAGGTTGGGTGGCCCGGTCTCTCCCTGGTCTCCCTGGGGCGCTCGCTTCGGCCACCCCACCGCGGCTCAACTCCAGCGCGATAAGCCGCCCCCGGGGATCCGCGATTGTCTCGATTTATATGCATGCACAGACGTAGGCGGTGGGCCGTGTTGGCTGCTCTCTGACTGCGGCCACCGTGCGGGTGTCGTTCTGGACGGGGGAAGGCCAAGGGTGGCACCGCCGAGGGTGCCACACGCCAGTAGACGCCGGTCGAGACCGTCGATAGATCGATTCTCCAGTAGCAGACAGTAAATATCGCTGATGAGCCGGCCCCCTGGTCCTCGAACGATTGGGACCTAGGTTCGAGGCAGGCAGCAGGGTGCTTACCCTGCGATTTGTCGAGTGGCGAGGAATCCTCGCGCTGTATCACTCAGCACTGCACCACTGCCAACTGCCCGCCATATTCGCCACCCTCACGACCCCCCTGGGGGTGGGAAGAGGGGGGGGCAGGGGTCTCTCTATCCTACACAATTTTCAGTCTTTATCCGGATGGCCGCTCGACCATTCTTTATTCCGACGATTTTTGTTGTTTACGCCTCTCTCTCTCTCTCTCTTTCTCTGCATCGGAGATTTTTCTGCATGTGTCGGTACCTTGGGAGAGGCACGCGTTGCTCTTGCTCCGAACGTTGCCCAGGGATTAACGCACTGGCAGGCAGGGTAATTTTCTCTCTCTCTCTCTCTCTCCCTTTCTTTTTTTTTTTTCTTTTTTCCTCCCCCATTCCTTTCCGCCTGTGCATAGCGGGAAATTGTTGCGAACGAGGGGCTTCCTGCGTGCGTGGAACGACGGCCGCGCCGGGACGATTATCCGAATTAATTCGGAAATGCCCCCTTAATGACCGACCCGGCAATATTTTTATTCCGCTCGCGCTCAGTCCGAGGTCCGTTGCCAAGGCCGGCACCGTGTACTCGAGGCTCGAGTATGACGATGGCGCGGCTAATTGATTTTTGGCGTAACAACGTTGTTGTCACGCTTGTTTAGAGTGCGCGCAAATGTTTTCGTTGGTATGAATTCTGTTGGTGTAATGGTCCCGCGGGTGGTCTCGCTGTAGAGAGGAACGAAGGGTTGCAGTGACCAACGTGAAATCAATTTTGGTCAAATTACTTCGTAAAATGTGTTGTAGCTTCGCGGTTGGTCAATGTTCGTGGTAATAAACTGTTGCACTTTTGCTAATAAACGAAACTTGCGTTTTCATTTCTCTTTTGAAAGGAAGGATTTAAATATGGCGACCGTACAAGGGGAATAGGTCAAGTCTTTGTTAACTTCGCTGCGATACTTGAATTTTTATATTTCAATTTTACAGTCGGGATTTATAATATTTTGTATATATATATATATATATATATATATATATATATATATATATATGTTTAATAATATTTTAAAAAGATGTTTAACATAAAATCGTAACGATTAATGCGTATTAATAAGAATTGTTTCACACATCGTTTAAACTAAAGGTATTCTGCAAGCGGATTGAAAATACAAAAGAACGCAATAGGATTAATTTTCTGATCTTTAAAATGATTAAGAAGAGATATTTTATTGCGACATAGTTGAACAAGAGAATAATTTAATATATTCCAAGACTTGGAAATAGGACTGTGAGTCATTAGATGCTTACATACTTTTTTACTTGCAGGTTTCCCTGTGCGACGATTACAGTTTACCAGTCGATTTCGTGAATAAAAGACGTCCTGCGAGTGCCGCGGCTACAACATCCACGGTTCAGTGGGCACTACCAAGTCCTACCATCGAAAACGTGAGTGTTGCACGAAGATTAAATTTTAATCGATAGACCACAGATTTTTACGCGCTTGTAGAAAATTTAGAAACACAGAAATCTAGTTTAAATGTACGAAATATACAGTGATTACAAGGTGAAACCTCATACAGTTATAATTGCATTCAAGTATTAAATTTTACGATTATAAAATTATACACAATTTTATAATTTTAATTTGAATATTACAATTTAAATATTAAATTTTACAAATTATTTGACAAGTATTAAATTTTACAATTATAAAATTATATACAATTTTATAATTTTAATTTAAATATTACAATTTAGATATTAAATTTTACAATTAATTTGACGAGCAAAAGGGAAATATCTTTTCAATGTTTCTAGAGACGTTATAATTTTTACAATTTGCGAGAATAAAAGTAGCTTTACTTTACCACCTGCTACACTGATGTAAAAATATCTTTGATGAAAAAATCATACTTGGGATAGTCAAAGATAAAAGATTCACTCTTTACAACGAGATGAAGTAGATCGTTGTATGGTTTTCTTTTACGAGATTGTAACAGTTTAAGATATCGATAATTTTTCATCACTTTCAGTTACGTTCTTCGGTAATACTTTCAAATCCTGAAATCATGAAAAAGACGCGTACAAAGGATTGTAGCCACTGTGTGAAATATTCAAAATACACAAAATACTCGTTAGAACGTTTAATAGAAAGTTATTTATTTAATAAAAATAAAATAGATAAAATTAATCTCAGATTAATTTCCACTTGTTCATTCCCACAGGCTAGCAATGAATTTTGATTAATACTCGTTAGAATGTTTAATAGAAAGTTATTTATTTAATAAAAATAAAATAGATAAAATTAATCTCAGATTAATTTCCACTTGTTCATTCAAATGTAAATTTCCACAGGCTAGCAATGAATTTTGATATATTTTGGTATGTTAAAATCATTATTTTGTTACCTGATATTTATCTTTCGTGAAATTTCATTGGTTTTACGGGATGAACGATAACGTGGAAATTTCGGTGTTTTAGTTACTAAAATGTTCAGACAGGTTTTCATCGGTATTCGATCAGATTTTATTCCAATTCTGTTGGTTCAATAAACGTGCATTGTTCGATAATCGCGTTACCGTATCGCGTTTCCCTCATCGTCTGGTTTGATTGTGGCTCGTTTCCATCACAGGAGAATATCAATTTTTGTTTGCTTGCATGGCGTCAGGTAGATACGGGGGCACCGTAATTTCGTCGAACAAAAAAATTGTCCGAACGAAGAATCGATTCGGACATTTGAGAGCTGAACTGATACTGAAGATCGGTTTAATTTAACTAGTGTTTCATTTTCAAGAAACGAAACGATTGACCTTGATGTAGAAAAGTCGAGTTTCCTCCGAACAATAAGAATCGGAATATTTTTATAATCCATCGAACTCTAATAAAAGTAAAACAGTGCCTAGAAATTATTATATTAACTAAGCGAGCAGTGAAAATACTCGTCGATAAAATCGGCTTAGAACTTCAGCGCGCTATAATTTTTATCTTCCGAGGCAGATTTTTCTCACACTCAGTATGATATCATCTCACTCTGATATCCATCGAACGCTAGTAAAAATAAAACAGTGCCTAGAAATTATTATATTAACTAAGCGAGCAGTGAAAATACTTGTCGATAAAATCGGCTTAGAACTTCAGCGCGCTATAATTTTTATCTTCCGAGGCAGATTTTTCTCACACTCAGTATGATATCATCTCACTCTGATATCCATCGAACGCTAGTAAAAATAAAACAGTGCCTAGAAATTATTATATTAACTAAGCGAGCAGTGAAAATACTTGTCGATAAAATCGGCTTAGAACTTCAGCGCGCTATAATTTTTATCTTCCGAGGCAGATTTTTCTCACACTCAGTATGATATCATCTCACTCTGATATCCATCGAACGCTAGTAAAAGTAAAACAGTGCCTAGAAATTATTATATTAACTAAGCGAGCAGTGAAAATACTCGTCGATAAAATCGGCTTAGAACTTCAGCGCGCTATAATTTCTGTCTTCCGAGGCAGATTTCTCTCACACTCAGTACCTGAAACGAAAAACTCAGTCTTGAGAGACTCGGTAATCGTCAAAAAAAGTACCAAGTCTTTGGTAAACATCTACTTTAACTCTCCCCCTAAATTTGCTTGTTCATTGTCAATTTAACAAAGGATAGAGACTAAATCTCGCCGAAACCAAAACTTAAATATCCGACTCTCTGCGCGTTCGATCGTTCCGAAAAATCCCTCTCCCGCCTCCCCTTAGCCAAATCACGACGCAGTCTTCAGCATCGATTCGAGATACGCCGCGCGACGAATATAACCGGCGGTATTGATATTTCTCTGCTGGCAGCGAAAGAATCGGTCGAAGGGAGAAATATAATTACGATGGTGACAAAATACCCGCTGGGCACGATGGCGTTAGAGGGTTGGTAGCTAGCTGGCAGGAGGTAGGGGAGGAGAACAGAGAAGAAGAGCGCAGAGTATTTCGCTGGCTGACAGAGCGCGAAGGACGAGAGGGAAACAGGGCTGTGAAGGGGTGAGAAGAAGGGGGCGGTGGATGAGGCACCCGGTGACTTCCGGCGGTGCTTATAATTGTTCCAGCACTCAGCTTCTGGTGACGGGGATCGCCCGAAGCGCGCAACGCCTAAACGCTTCTGCATTTCGAGATACGTACAGCTCACCTTCACTCTGCTTCCTGCTGTCCTCGATAGTGCAGTCGGAATCGTCGCGTTTCGCCCCACTTACTTACACGCACGTCGTTACACACATGTACGTACATAACGTCGCGGGGATCTCGGTTTACTTTGGCCCGGCGAGAGCAAGTTTCCATCGTCGTGTTGGATTTGGCGGACGTAAAACTGTAAACGGGGTTATATTTCTCGGTTAGGTGAAATAGGTAGTACAAATATTGAGGCACGATTGGCTGTTTGAGGCCTCTCTCGGTGAACACGGTGAGTGGGATGGTTTGATTGTTCCGTGAATTTGTTCTGATTACTTTTGATTGGATATTTCCCGGTTACGTGATATATGTAAATGGAAATATTTTTCGCTCGAGACGTGACTGGGCGTTTGAAATTTCTTGGTGGATCTGATAAATTGTTTGGTCACGTGATGTATAAACAAGAGAAATATTCTGCTTTCGAGACGTGATTGGGTGTTTGAAATTTCTCAGTGAATCCGTGATAATTTGAGTGTTTTATGAATTTATTCTGATATTTTGGTTACGTGATATACAGCGTGATATGGTACGACTGAGGAAAAGAAAGCATAAAATTTTTTCAGTAAAGCCTTCGTTTTCGAGAAAATCGAGTTTGAACATTTATCAAGTATATGTCCTATATAAATAATAGAAATATTCTAGACATTTCTCGGTGGACTCGTTTGATTATTTTGAATTTATAAATTTATTCTGACTTTTCGGTTGGATATGTTCCAGTTACGTGATATAGAAGTGGTAGAAATATTCTGCGTTCAAGACACAATTGAGTGTTCCAAGTTTCTCGGTGGATGTTTTGATTGTTTTATGAATTTATTCTGAATTTTTGGGTTGGATATTTTCCGGTTACGTATGTAGTAGAAATGTTTTACGTTCGAAATACACATGATTGAATGTCTGAGGCTTTTTAGGTGAATTCATAGTTGGATGGTTTGATTGCTCTATAAATTTATTCTGATTTTTTGGGTGGTATGGAGATATTGTATGTATTTGGAATACGATTGGCTGAATTCTTGATTGAACAGTTCTTTGATTCTATCTTTTTAATTTATTGTGAAGCAAAAGTAACAATGAAATGCGGGAACAGTATAGGAGTTCAGTTACAAAGAAAAATCAGAATTTCGTTCGTCTGTTTAATCAACTCAGGAGTAGTCACTAAATATCAACCAACAAATCCTCGTTTCGTCGCGAAAAGACATTCTTCCATTGTACAGTCGCCAAGCCTTCAAAATTCCCTCGAGAGAAAGAAATAAAAGAAATAAAAAAAGAAAAAAAAGTACAGTACAAATCCCAGTAAACCAAGCAGTTCCAATAAAACAATCCGCCAATCAACGTCCCTACAAACGAGAAACAGAGACCGAGGACACGAAAGAACGAAGAAAAAAATCCAGAAACCAATGACATTGTCGAACACGCTAGAGTTCGCAAATCGCCAAATTGCCAACTTGATTCCTGTCGAAACGTAAACGCGCCAAGTGGTTATAATCGTAGATTATAAGCAGAAAGTCATAAAGAAGAAGAAGAAGAAGAAGAAGAAGAAGAAGAAGAAAAAGTGGAGAGAAAGATCGAGGCGGTCGGGATACCTGGCTGGCTGCGTTGAACAAAAGTTTTCGTCTTCGTTCTCAACGGCGGCGGCGTCCCTTGACGAAAGTGCTCGTCGCAACAGTGGCGACACAAAGTGGAGTGGCGAACGGGGGTGGAGAGGAGAGGAGGAGAAGAATGGTTGGCGAGGAAGGGCGACAAAGAGAGGAAACGGGTGCCACTTGATTCAAGAGGGTGAATCGTTACGACTGCCGCTCGTAAGCCCTACTTAATACTTTAGCGCTTTATTTTATGCGTGAGGTCGGGCACGGCTGTAGGTCGCATTTATCACTCTAACAAAGAGCCCCCGTCGCGTGAAAGTTGGCGCGGGGGCGGGGGCGGGCGCGTGCTGAAACGCCTGCTCGCGATGGAAATTTCGCGGTCGCGCGCGCGCCACCGAAAGTGAAACGGGGATTTATGGTTTCCTAAACACCGTTTGCTTCAAGGTTTCAGACGATGTTTAAACAGTGGTTGAGGAGCGGCGCTCGTTTTAGCGACGTTTACTGACGATGCAAAATCGCGGGGATGTTCGTATTTATGCAGAAATTTGTTAAACAGGTATATTTTAAGATATACATGTGTATTACATAAAATATACATGTAAAATATATATACATACATGTATATTTTATATTCGAGAGGTGGCTTTACATTGTCGCGAGATTAATTT